GGGTCTGAATTCCAAGTCCAACATTCTCTCTCCTCCAGTGCCAATTTACGGTTAAACCAGACCCCAAAACACACCCTCTAGGTCTGAGTAGAAATAGATTAGCTTATTGAACATCCAAATCCTTCATGAAATATTCCCAGATGATCTGTTGAGAACAAGATTTTCCAAATCACACCTAGTCCAAGGTCATTCTTACCCTGAGTACTCACCATTATCTTAAAATATAATGCCTCCAGATGTATGTGGTATGAAAACCTTACTCATTTTACATTTCATTTCCTGCTTGTAACTTGTTTGCGTGATATTTTGTCTGTATTACTGATATCTTGGATCAGTTATCCTGGAAAGCACAAAAGGTGCCTAGCAGTGGCATATCTAATGGCAATTCATATTCTTTGATGATATATGTAACCCTAATAAATGAATACTCCTACACACTGCACAAAATTAGAATCATGAAGCCCTTGAATATAGTACAATATCATTCTGGTTAAAATTTTGTAAGTAGCTCTTCATCAACCTGATACTCAAGTCCGAGAACATCTAGCCATCATCTGACAAAAACTAGAGTTCAGAGTAAGCTAGAGGTTAAGACCCAGGTCATTTTCTAGCTCCTATGCCTGAAACAAAAGTTAAGTCTGACTTATGATGATGCATTTCTCAAGTTTATGTGCCCTGTCCTCAATTGAAATATTCTCCTTTCCTTTTTCCTCTATTAAACACTTTCATTTAACAACATATCAAAGGAATTAAGCTGTGTTAGCCTGACCCATATAGAAATAATGGTCATTAGAGCTTAAAACAGTACCTAAGAATCAAGAACAAAAAGTAATTATTCTTAAAGTATATCTTCTCAGATTGCTATACTTCCTTTAGTTACTATTTACAATATCCCTTCTATTTTTATATCAATTTGCATCATAAATACAATACTCTGTATTCAATTAGCATTAGTTAGCATATTTTAAGCAGCTCCTCTTTTTTCTCAACTCTAGACACAAAATCTTTGACCTTGACAGTGTCTCTAAAAATGGTTACTTCAATTTAAAAAATTAAACATTTAAACCATGCTTCTGATAAATGGTAAGAGAATATTAAGCAGCTGTAATATTATAAGCTTCATTCTATCTAAAAGGAAGCCTTAGAGATCAGTATCCATTAAAAAAAAAAAATCAAAGTCCTGGCACAGGATTTAAACTAATGAAATCTTGTTTATGTTAGTTGTATCATGGGAACCAAACAATGGTCACATGAGTTTCTGATCTTTACAAACATGCTTATAAAAAGTAAGGCCATCGTAAGTCCTAGCTGAGGAATCTTTGTCCCAAATACTCAAAAATGTTTTCCTGGACTAAACCAAACCATCAGAGACCTGCATGCCTGGACCACATATTTCAGTGTCATTGTAGACATATCCTTACTAGAATGAGTTGAGGTGTTGGCCATCAGCTGACACTTAGGGCCACTACAAGATACATACCCTTGATTTACTGAAAAGGCAGGGCTGTTTCTTTATGAGGATGCAAAGTTTTTCGGGCTTCACTGCCAGAAAATGTTCTTCTCCACCATGACTGGCTTTTTATTTGATGCACACTATAATTACTGTTAACTGACACATTACTTTCTCCTATGAGGCCTGCCAGGTTTCGCGGAGCCAATTCACAGCCAGGTGCACATGACATTTTGGTATATTAACCTCATTTTAGGTATTAATTTCACCCAGAAGTCAAATTTTCTCATTTACTTTTTAAATACTGTACTGTACATTTTTCCATAAATCACTTTTGGAACATAATAGGGTAGAAATAAAACAATTACATAGTGGAGAAAAAAATAAGGCTACTAGAACTTCTACCTTACTCAGCTAAAGTGCTTTCTCAAAATAGAAAATGGCCCTATATCATGGACCAGCAATTTTCCAATAAATTGAAAATCACTTGCAGATCGTTTGACAAGGCAAGATGTTCTAACTTTTGCCCCTGCCATTTAGACAGGGTAAAGGATGGATGACTATCTTCCAACTTCTCGCCAGCTTGAGACAGACAGGTTCAGGGTTATAAAAGTTTTAGAGTTCTTAGGAACAAGACCCAGAAAAACCAACTCACCACCTTAGAGCTATCTTTCTGAGAATTGTGTGAAAACTATAGACCCCCCAAAAATGCATGTAAACCACAACTTCTGGGGAGGGGGAAGGTCCATAGAAATCCTCCAAGTCCATTTATGAACCTTAAGTTAAGAACTCCTTTCTAGAAAATGACAAGCTTAGACATCAGCCACTATCACTTAGAGCCTAGAGCCTGAGAAATCCTGCACATTACATGATTTTCATGTAAAGTTTCAAAGATGGGTGGGGGATTAGGAATATCTCCTGCTCATATTACTTAGTAATAAAATATTCATACTGTGATAACTGCCACAGCCTCCTTATCCAGGTTTATTTTTCTTCAGAGGACTTCCCTCTATCAAACATTAAACATTCGTTGTTTGCCTCCACTGACTAATGGAAGTTCCATGAGGGCATAGGGACTTTGTTTTGCTCATGGCTGTACCTCTGATGCATTAGTAACTCAAATATTTGTTAAATAAACTTCTATAGGATTATCTATAACAGGTTTTTATAAATAAAGTTTTACTGGAACTCAGTCATGTTCATTCATTTACATATCGCCTATGGCTGCTTTCATGCTATAATCACAGAGCTGAGAAGTTGCAGTGGGTTTACATAGCCGCAAAGCCTCAAATATTTGTGACCTGGTCCTTTACAGAAAAAGTTTGCCGACCACTAATAGCATTCATTTGTCTCTAATTTCTCAAGCTACATTAGAAGCACCTAAGTACAGAAGTTAGGTCTTAATACTCCTCAGTACCTAGCAGAGAGTAGATGCTTTAAAATATCACTACACAAATACAGATTTGTTACCTTTAACATAAATTATTTTTACACAGTTAAATCCAAAGTTAGCATTTTCCATCCTCAATAAATTTCTAGCAAGGCCACAACCAAAGATTACCTGCATTCAATAATTTGGGTGACAAGAAGAGAAACTATGCTAAGTAGTGAATTTTCTCATTCAAACTCACAATCATGTAATCTTTAAAATGTGAATACAATGTAACAACTGATAAACTCTTCCCTGATGTATTTCAGATAAATGATTTTTAAGGTAAACCAGTTATTTTCTCAATGTTAAAATCATTCTAAAATGTATCATTTCTTTTTATGCCAGGCACATTACAGGTGCTCAACAGTCACTGAATGGATCACTTCCCATAAATAATTATTGTGGTCATCAAATTTTGCAAATTACAATTACCTGAAAAGGGCCATCAAGATTTATATCCCTTTGCCAATTCTAAAATATGTTCAGCATTGTCTGATCCTTTTAAAAATTATAGCCTTTGCTGTCCTTCACTTAAAAAATTAATTTGCATAGATATCATTGGTTCCAAGTAACTGAAGAGTAAATGGTAATTCTTGACATGATTTCAGCCCACTGTTTATCCCAGGTGCAGAGGTGAGCAAATAGGACTTTTTCATATTATTGAATGAGATGTCATTTGAAAATATAGTTCATGGACTAAGACAGAAAAGAGAAAGGGCTCGGAACCTTAATGAATTATCTTTGCTAAGCTATTTTGAATAAGCAACAATATATACAATGATATACAATCATTTGAAAAAAACTATTGTTTATTTAGAAAAAAAGTTACACTGGTAGAATTCAGTAGATAAAAAAATTTTCTTTTAAAAATGTCACTGTGAAATTTTTCCAGACGAAAGTTCAGCAATACAAAGCTCCTGAAGCTGTAGAATTAAAACACAATTAACTTTTGATTTCCCCCCTGCAGATTTCTCTAACATAATTACAAGAAAAAATGGAAAGGGACAAGTAAGTGCTGGTACCTTTTTCGTTTTTAAACAGGTTTTAATGTTGTACATGTACTATATAAAGTGATTCCTACACATTGCATTAGAACTGCTCCCACTTTGTTTTTAGTGAGTACTATTAAAAACAGGCCAAATAATAAATTAAAACTGAGTTTTAAAATGAGGTAAATTCAAAATGGTTCAATAATTATTTATTTTCAGTTTCAAACAATAAAAAGGAAGCATTTCAGAGTCGGGGGAGGGGGACGACTAAACCCAGGCATATTTAGTTAACCTAAAGTGAAATTCTATACACATGTAATCTTATTTGCTTGTTGGGAACTGTATGCAGCACATTGTGCTAAAAATATAGAATAGTGAACACTTTCAGCCATTTACTGAAAATAAACATGTAGAAACTAAGCAACAAGTTAAATACAGTAATGCACAACTCAACAATTTTAAGTTTTTGACATGGATCAATAAAGCAGATGACTGAATAATTTAAGGAGATGCACATGGGCCCTCTTCATTCATAATTCTCGGCAATCTACTCAGGAAAATAAATTTCTGGTCACAGGTGAACAATTTCATTCCAATCTCACCTGAAAGAAACAAAGTGATTATATTGATAGGAAGGAAGGAAGGAAGGAAGGAAGGAAGGAAGGAAGGAAGGAAAGAGGGAGAGAGGAGGAAGAAAGGAGAGAAGATGACAGAAGGAGAGGAGAAGGTAAAGAGAAAAGAAGGCATGCAGGCAGGCAAAAAGGAAGGAGGGAAAGGAGAGGAAGGAAGATTTAAGAAAGAAAAATCAGTGAGTGAGTTCTGTCAATAACAAAGGTTTGAATTGAGTCCCTAGATAAGGATAAAAAAGGATGAAATATTTGCGTATTACTTATTGCCCACTCTCATAAACCATTAAAGATAGGCACACTATGATGACTTTTTAAAAATCTGAACATTTTGTCTATGAGAGGGAGAGGTTGTGGGGAGGGGAAGAAGAAAAAAAATTAAATCAAAACAAGTAAAACATTTCACAGGGGCAAGCAATAGCTTATCAAAAGTAAACAAAATGCGTAGCAATGAAAAGGAACCAATTTTACATGATCAACAAAAAAAGAAAAATGACATCACATTTTTCACAAGGACACGATTTTAATAGTGACTTATATTAAGATGCAATGTTTGCTAAATTATAAAAATTGCTTTAAAAATATATTGACTTAATTATACTCCTTTCCTTTATGTATTGACATTTTTCAAATACTGCATATTGAAATTAATTCAAAACATGATCATTACAACATGTGGCAAATAACTTCTTATCTGCCTAACATTGTTCTCATTCAATTTTTAAACTAATGCTTAACGCATTAAACTTTATTGATGAAAATACTACATTCACATATTTCATAAAACCAGAGCTAGAAGAGCCTTAGAAAATAATCACACTTGCATGAAATGCTGACAAATAATTTACATATCATTTCTATACAGCATTCTGTTCACACCATGTATAATCTTGATATTATCAATTATAACTGTGGATACACTAACGTTGAACTTAACAATTTTAATACTTAAAAATCATTGCTCCTGTCCATCACTGATGAATGGATAAACAAAATGTGGTACACATTCATACAATGAAATATTATTCAATTATTAAAAGAAATAAAGTTCTAATACATGCTACGACATGGGTGAACCTTGAAAACATGATACTATGTGAAAGAAGCCAGACACAAAAGGCCACATATTGCATGATTCCATTTTTATGAAATGTCCAAAACAGGCAAATCTATAGACAGAAAGTACATTAATCATTTCCAGGGGCTGGAGAAAGGGGAGAATTGGGAGTGACTGCTAACAACCGTGGGGCTCTCTTTGGGGTGATGGAAATGTCCTAGAATTAGTAGTGATGGTTATACAACATAGTGACTATACTAAAAACCACTTTAAAATGGCAAGTTTTATGTTATGTGCAATTTTTTAAATGGCAAAAAAGTCAATGTTCCAATAAAGAGTATCATGTTATCAGTATGGCCATAACTCGAATAAGAAATGGGTTCTCAATCATGAGGATGTCACAATAGGAGAATCACTCGGCAAGGAAAGTTTGGATGAGATATTTAAGGGTACATTAAAGGATAAAAATGCTATTGCTGTTAAAACATGTAAAGATGACCTTTCCCAGGAACTGAAATTAAAATTTTTACAAGAAGCCAAAATCCTCAAGCAATATAATCACCCCAATATTGTCAAACTTATAAGAGAGTTCACACACAAATACAGCCTATCTACATCATTAAAGAACTTGTTCCAGGAGGCGATTTCCTCTCTTTTCTGAGAAAGATGGATGAACTAAAACAGTTAGTGAAATTTTCATTAGATGCTGCTTCTGGATGGCGAATCTCGAGTAAAAATTGTATACACAGGGACCTTGCTGCAAGAAACTGCCTGGAGGTGAAAATAATGTTCAAAAAATCAGTGACTTTGGAATGTCTCGTTAAGAGGATGGTGGTTTGTATTCATCTTCTGACTTAAAGCAGATTCCCATTAAATGGACAGCACCAGAAGCTCTTAATTATGGGAGATATCGTTCTGAGAGTGACGCATGTAGCTTTGGCATCCTCCTCTGGGAGACCTTCAGCTTAGGGGTCTGTCCATATCCTGGAATGACAAATCAGCAAGCACGAGAGCAAGTGGAAAGAAGATACTGGATGTCAGTCTCTCAGCAGTGTCCAGAATGTATTTATAAAACAGTGCTGAAGTGTTGGGATTACAAACTTGAAAACCACCCTAAAGTGAACTTCAGAAAGAAAACTGCCATCAAGAAGAAAGTCACATAGTGATGAAACAATGCAAACTCAGCCTTCAGGACTCTATCTTCCAGCAGGGTAATATTTTCTCATTAACAATGAGTTTATACCACATTAACTAGAACATTCTCTAAGGTTTTTTAACTTTTTTAAAACTATGGGCCACTTTTAACCACTGTAAATAAGAAAGCACAGGCTCCAAATGCAAGGGATCACACAGATCTATCTTTTTTACACCTAGGACAACTGATGTTTCTCAGATGGTTTCTACTTCAGGCTCAGTTCAAAGTTGGCTGCCCTCCACCCTAGACACCTCTACTGTATCAGTGCTATAAACTGTATTGGTAATGTCATGTTTGTAGGGCACATTGCAACAAAAAGTGGCCCTCCACTCTGTTAAGACAATTTATCTCTGTAAACATCACCTTCTGTTGGGAATTAGCTGGGCATCCTGTGTGTGTGTTTTCTTCTTTCTTGCCAGAAATAGGCCCTGTTGTATTAGTAAAGTTGTCACTTGCCTATGTTCCACCATGCACTACTCCTTTGTCAGGGCAACAGAAAACTTCATGAAATGACCTCAAAGCGTACCCTTCTCAGGGTTGAAGCAGCTGATTTTAAATGATATTATTTTATAGAGAGCTGTGACAGCAAGAAGCAAATTTGAAAATTAGGGAAGTCTAGAGAAAAAAGCAGCTGGACTGGTGGTCAAAGTAAAGAAAGACAAATATAAATTCAGCCTTCTTATCAGAGGTATGCTTTCATAAACACACACACAGACACACACACTTTCTAATTTGCTTCAATAGTTCATAGATTTCTTATAAAAGAACACTCTTGATAGCAAAAAAAAAAACTGATTTAGAGAAACTATAAAACACAAGCCCATTGAATTAATAGATTATTTTTGGTTAAGCATCTTCGCCTCAAAGAAGGCATCCCAGAATTTAGTTCCCTTCATTTTTACCAGTGTCTGAGGCTGTCAGGATTTCATGATCCTAGTTTGTTCACTCATTCACTCTCACACTCATACACACACACTCTAAGTCGAAAGGCATATATGGATGAAGTTGACAGCTAAAAAGTCAAATGAACATTTATGAGGAAGAAAGGAGTTATAAGAGAAAGACATAGGGACAGCCATCCTAATTTCACTTTTCTACTTCATTGACCCCTATATTGCTACCTAGGAATTCTTAACACAGCAAACACACTTCCTGTGTTTCACATGGATAAAATGTGACTTAGAGTTAAAACTGGATTTTGTTGACCTGAATCTTAACATACCCAGAGGTGCTTCTCAGGATAAATGCATGTGTACAGGATAGTCACGCTCAGAGGTAAATGTGGCACAAGAGCCTTTTGTAAGTGCTCATGCCTATGTCCAGACAAAAAACAGCACAGCACCTTAGTGAATATTTGGTCTACCTTAAACAGAAGAAAGGAAACAGAAAATTCCTCCTGTTCTTTCCAACTGTTTGGTGCCTAAGAATATCAGTGCACAGAACACAAACCCAGTACTTGTAAAAGTATAAAGGATTATAATGAAGAAAAAAATAGCTTATGGCCATCATTTCAATCTAACAAAACTTTTGTGCAATTTCAACGATTACTACATACAGACCCAGATGATAGCATAATAAACTTGCCCTCAAAAAAATATGTTGCAGCACATAAAGCAACTTCCTTTTAAACAGTGTACTATTAAACACTGTAAATAAACTAAACCTTCTTTTTTGAGGATGAAAAAAGTCAGTGCTGTTTCTCACTGATCCCAAAGAGATATACTTAATACTTGTGTACATAGCTCTCCATGTAAAGTTAACAGAGTAGAAGAAACTTAGTAGGTAATAAAAAATACTTGGCTGTTTGATTAGAAAGAATGAAGTTACTGCTTTCACCAAGATCACATTCTAAGAGAAATACATAATATACATATACATAAGAATCGGTGACTAGGACTCTGTAGGCCTACACACACACACACACACACGCGCGTGCGCACATAAGCAATGGGAAACTACTGAGAAACTTAACTGAACACTCCCTACTCCAACACATATTACCAGCAACTAGGACTACGCCTAGACATGGCAATATGGTCCCAAAATAAGCAATCTTTGAGTGCTTAGGAGGTCAGTTTCCAAGTATGGACCAAAGAAACAAGGCTCATAATAAGAATTACAAAATCAATTGTTTACAGGGGTTAGTATATACTGGAAACAAATTAAGTGAGCTAAGTGGGGGCTGAGGTAAACTATAAAAAATAACCCACTCTCTATATAAAGGGGCAGCAGCGCCTAGGCAGATCTAGTTAATTGCTGCCATACAGAAATCAGGACAAGATACTGCTAGATGTCCCAATTCTTTAAGAGAAACTGAAATTTGGATTTTGTCAACTCTTCTGGTTTTTAAAGGTGACCACTTTTTAAAAATGTTAATATTGTTGTGAGGCCCATAAGGTACATCTAACAAGCCACATTCTGCCCAAGGGCTAAGAATTTACAACCTTGGGTTTAAAGGATAAAAGTATTAGGTTACACGTAAACGTGTGACTAGAGGTAAAAGATGGGCCTGCAAAAATATATTAGGCCTCACTGGAGTGAAGGATTAAAATACAAACGGAGCATATTACAAATACAGATAGACAGGATAGAGCTAACTGCTAACGTTCTTTGAAATGAAGAATAAAGTCTAAGAAGATTGAGCTTCTCAAAGTCTGAGAGCAAGTCTCAGTTTAGCACAACATGTGGTTTATAAAAAGACTCTCAATAAGTTACCTGAACCCAACATTCATGAAATGAGGGTCACATGTATCAAATTTAAATTGAGAAGCTAAAGGATGGTTCTAAAAAGAAAAATTTAATAGGCAGAAATTTTTAAAGATTAAACTAGAGGAAAAGGTTAACAGCAAAGCAGTTAGCAGTGTTCAAGGGACTAAATCAAACAGAGATAAGGAATTTGGATAAAGACTTTAGCAATAACAAGTAACAGAAAATATAGAGAACAAGCAGGAAGAACTGTGCAATCAAAAATTATGAGAAGATAAGAAGATAAAAGACTTTTGAAGGAATTTAATCTGGGTCACATATATACACTGTATTTTCTTAACTCTAATACGATCATTTTAATGTTTCTGAAATCAGGGTGGGTACTTACAAATAATGTAGTTTCTCTATTCACCCTTTTCAAAGAACAGTTCTATAAACCAATAATGAATCTTACAATTAATGACACCTTTGAGTCACAGAAATGTGACATACACAACAACTCTCTTTTCTGTAGAATGTAAAATAAATAAAAAAAACGGAGCAGGGAACAGCAGATCTTAAGTAGCCTAAAGGTAAATGGGGCAAATCCAAAAATGATAAGACCTCTAAAGGTAAAGAAAGAACAATAGAAAGACTTGATAGGAAGCAGCCAGAACAGCTAGAAAAAGGAAATTACCAACCAGAGTCTCACAAAACTAAGAGTCTACCCAATAAGAAAGTACAGTTAATTGTCAACAAGAAACTGAAGATGATGAACATCAAGCTAAATGTATCTTAAAAGGGTATCCAAATTGAGTAGCTCAGCTACAAGATCACCAACCTAATATCTAACACCCAGGCCAGTCTTTTCATGCCTTTGGTCCTGAGAGATGATATAGAGAGGTAAAGTACAAATCCATGGCCCATATGAAGAACTCAAAGGAATCTATAGCATAACCTTCATATACCAAAGAATACTATTTAAGTACTGAGTAAAGAGAGATGGATAAAATCACAGTGAAAGTTTTCAGTGACTATAGTTGGCCCATTTCTAATGAAGATATAAGAGGTAGGTGTTTTTGGTTTTCTTTAATAAAGAGACTATTTGAAAACAAGGAGTAAAAAGCTAAATACCAAATTCTAAGAAAGGTTAACGTGGAAAATAAAAAAAAGAAAAAGATTAAGAGTTTATAATTTGCTGGGGTGGAGGGTGGCTAGAATTGAAGAACGGGCAATAATATTTCTTTTACAATATTTCTAATTTTAAAAAAATTACTAAAGTCTAAATGTTCTCATTTTACCCTACTCTACTACTTAGATAACAAGCTCAGAATAATAAAGCTGAAAAAGCACACCACTAATCAGGAGGTTACCTATCTAGAACCCTCGAATCCTTGCTCTGCAGCTAAAATAACTATGACAAAATCTATACCCTAAAGCTCATACCTTTATACAGAATGGGCTCTCACTCTTAAACAACTGTAAACAGCCTTGGTAATCTATCTGGTTTCGTAAAAGATTAGAAGCAGCAAATAATATTAGGGAAAGGGTATAGACAGCAAGTATACTTGATATCATTAAGAAGTGAGAGCTAATATGGAAGCAAGAAAATGAGACTACAAAAAAAAGTTGACAACTTCAAATACAACCATTTTGAACCACTGAATGTAGAGGGCAAATCATCCTACATACCCCAATAATCCTAACGCATCACAAAACAATAACTATTCAGATGATGACCTTGAGTGCTCAAAAAAGTGTATATATTTAGGTTCTGAACACTCTGTTGGACAGAGTGGATTACTGTCCACATACAATTTATCTAAGGTGGTTAAAACACTTTTTAAATCTCACATAAGGCTGTGAAAACAAAGCTGCATATTTTAAATTCCAGAAGTAAAAGCATAGACCATATTTTTTGGCTTTGCAAAACTTAGGCAGTGGTAGAAAAAGAGACAAAAAATCTCTGAATAACATGTCTGCATGAAAAAGCCAAAAGGAACAGAGAACACTGACGGGCAAGAAGATCTATGTGTAAGTATTGGCTCTGCCCACTAGTATCTGTCACCCTCTTTAATTTAACTTCTCAGAGTCTCAGTTTCTTCACCTGTAAAATGCAGATGCCATCACGACCTACAAAGCTATAGCACTTAAAAAGGGTAATTATCATCCAGAGAAGATGGGAATGAGTGGTGAAGAGAAAGCCTGATGTTCTTAGATACATCTTGGTGCTAAAAAAAAAAAAATGCATAGCTAATCAGCAAGCTTAAAATGAAAATAGTTCAGAATAACCGCAAATCTTGTTTTGCATCTATACCCAAAGAACTAGTCATTATATTTAGGTGAGAAATTCTAGTTGTACCTTACAAAATGAATCTAGTTTCTTCAACATTATCAGACCTCATTTTATAAAATGTCTCTTTAAATAAAAAGGAGGTAAGAGAACACTCACCTTGATTGAGTCTTCATTATCTGTGCTTGTCCGAGGACTTATGAGTAGATGACAAATTAAGGGAAAACAACTTGGAAAAAAAGAATGGTGTATCATCTTTTAGTACAATCCCTCAGCTTGCAGGCCTACCTGGCTCTGACCAGTTTGGTGGCCTCAAACTCTACCAGCTCTGCTCATCTGCTGCATCATTTTCCTTCAATTCCCCATACCCCTAGCCCAAGGCACTCTCTGTTCCCTTTCTTCCTCTCAGTGATAATACAGCCAGAGGGACTCTAAATCCCCTGGTGGCATAAAACAACCTCAGTGAACAAAGAAGTTAAAAAATGTCTCCCACTTCTACATTTTATACATTTGAGAGGATTAACTGGAGAGACCACTTAAAAGATATTAAGCATTTAGACCATATACTACTACAAAGGTAAAATTCTAAACATGACCAGTATCAAAGCTTTCCATTACACTGATTTAAAGTATCAATAAGATGAAAAGGATATTGTTTCTTCTCCTCCTTTCCTCCTGAACTGTCCCGTTTCTCTTTCTTTTCTATCTTTTCTTTATCATGCCTGGACTCCTAAAAGGAATGGTGGAATTAGTCAGAGAAGGGAAAACCAAATATAAAAATCAGCTCAAAATCCCTTTTCAATCACCCATCGGTCATAAATTTTTCTTCAAAAACTTATTTAACATGACACCAAAAGCACAATCAACACCAACAAAATTGGACTTCAACAAAAGTAAAAACTTTCATGCATCAAAGGACACTATCGAGAAAGTGAAAAGACAACGTACTGAATGGGAGAAAATATTTGCAAATTATATCTCATAAGGGTCTAGTATCAGACTATATAAAGAATTTTTACAACTGAGCAACAAAAAACAATCCAATTAATAAAAGGCCAAAGTAGCTGAATAGATCTCTCCAAAGATATATACAAATAGCCAAAAAACACATGAAAAGATGTTCAACATTATTAGTCATTAAGGAAATGCAAAATCAAAACCACGATACACCACTTCACACCCACCAGGATGGCTATAATAAAAAAAAAATAAAAATAAAAATAAATTTTTAAAAACAGAAAATGACAAGCTTTAGCAAGGATGTAGAGATACTGGCACCCTCATATATTGCTAGTGGAAATGTAAACTGTGCAGTCACTGTGGAAAAGTTTGGTAGTCCCTCAAAAAGTTAAACACAGCATTACCATAACCCAGAAATTCTGCTCCTGGGTATACACTCATGAGAATTTAAAACAGGTATTTAAACAATATTTTAAAGCAGCACTATTCACAACAGCCAAAAGATAGAAAACGACACAAAAGTCCATCAGCTTACAAATGGTAAACAAATGTGGTATGTTCATACAATGGAATATTATTTAGCCACATAAAGAAATGAAATATTGATACATGCTACACCACGGAAGAATCTCAAAAACATTTTGCTATGTGAAAGAAGTCAGACACAAAAGCCCACATTATTATACAATTCCATTTATATGAAATACCCAAAACTGGTAAATCCACAAAGACAGAAAGCAGATTAGTAGTTGCCAGAGGATAAAAGGAGGAGGAAACAGGGAATGACTGCTTAATGGGTATGGAGTTTCCCTTTGGGGTGATGAAAATATTTTGGAACTAGATACAGATGATGACCACTGAACTGTATACCTTAAAATGGTTAATTTTATATTATGTGCATTTTATCTCAATTTAAAAAATACTTATTTAAAAGGAGTAGCCTCCTTTTTAAAGCATATAGAAATTTAAAAACTATCACCTTATAATTTTCTAAAACTGCTTTTAAGAACTATAAATACATGGTATATATTTTGAATATATACAATGTTTTGTAAACACTTTACATTTTAGTAATGATGTGCTTCCTTTATGACGGATGCATGAGATATATTCTGAATCTCATCCATTAGTATCTAAAAGAATGCACACTGTACTTAATTTGAAAATCAAATACAAATTGCAAACACAAATTAGGAGAAAATACTATAAAATGTTTGAAATCACAATTAATACTTTATGACAGTGGAATGATCAAGGAGAATACATGTAACCATATTTTAATCTCATGAATGAAGAGAAACTAAAGGCATTGTTGGTGGAGAAAAAAGGAAAACACAAAAAGAAAGGCTGAAACTCAACGAATAGAAGTAGATGGGAGTAGAATGGAGAGGAAAGGCATTACAAAGATAAACTAAGTGTACCCTCAGTAATTTGGGACTGAACTGGCTGGGATTCCCCAGATAACCTGCACTCCTCTAATGCCTCATCTTCCCATCCCCAAATAATTAACAAAAGACCACTTGACTACAAAAAAAGCAATATTTGCTAAATTATCAAAGGGTTAATTTTCTAAGAAAAGTATATTGTTCCTTTGTTTTCCTTATTTACCTTTTTGCCACCAGAGGAGATTTTATCCATCTTTTCAGATTTAAATGAATCACCACCTTTTTCTTTGCCTGAAGATTTTGACTTATTTTTTTCTTTGTCTTTCTCATTTGAATAAGGAGACTCACATGGACTTTCACTTTTGTGTTTTGAAACCCCCACTAAAATTATAAAAGAGAATCATGAAATCCTTTTCCAATTCAGTTTGATGATTGCTTCAAAAGTATTAATAAGTCTACCTACTTGTTCCATTTTCCTCTTTTCGCCTCTTGGTTAAGTCCGGCGGCACTTCACGGTCATTGTTTGAGTGATCCTAGAACCAAGAATTGTGAACTACATTGATCAAGAGTTTATGTTTTTTGTTTTAAAGTATTACTTTTATATGAGAAGGGCACAGCTAACCAGCATTGGAGAATATTTGTGGTTGTTTCACATACTTGGTAAAATGACATTGAAAGATAGCAGAGTTGGAAGAGATTATTAGGCTGAAGATCCTTATTACTGTAGAAGATTCAAACACACTTTAGGATGAAAATACCAGTTAAACACTAATAGATTGCCATGCAACAAACTAATACTTTTAAAAAGGCAACACATTACTGTACGTGATAATGAACTTTCCAAACTAGTTTTTAAAAATTACAAACCCTTTTCCGCTCTTTCCTGTCCTTTTCATCTTTTTTCTCTCTTTCTCTGGATCTTTCCCTTGACTTGTCCAAATCTTTCTTGTCCATTTCTCTCTCCTTACTCTTGGACAGTGGTGGAGGAGTATGATTAAGGTAGAGCTGTTAAATTAAGGCAATATTACTAAAGATTATTAGTTTTCCAGTATTGGTATCATTTGCTTGATTGTTTATTTAATGAAAGACAATTGGTAGTTAGACCCAAAGTCAAAACTGGTCAGCTGTCTGGATTACAAGAGGTAAAATAAGAGAGCATGGCACAAATTATACAAAAACTTCAATTCTTGGCTTAATAAAAGTTATCATTTAAAACCAATCTGTT